CTAGTTCACGCAGAACGCCGCTGGCTACACCAATTCGCCGGTCGATTTTTTCCTCCAACTTTCCATCACTTGTAAATATAGTTCCGAGGTACTTGAACTTCTCCACCTGTTCCACTACCTCTCCATTAATCTGGCAGGAAAACGAGAAAGCACCAGACTTTTCGTTTTAGATGCGTTCACACGCATGACGGTCACGTCACACTCGGCTGCGAACCTTTCTCAGGAGCACCGGAGATCAGTTTCAGAAGATGCTAATAAAACAAGGTCGTCTGCAAACAGCAACCTTCTCGACTTCACATCCGATATCCTCATCGCCTTGGCTGCTCCTGACTATTCTATCCGTGTGCCACACACAAACAGATGAGGGAACAGGCCGAAGCCGTGACAGATACCAGTGAAAACGTTGAAGGGTTTTGACTTAATGCCATTTGCTATGACGCAGAACCTGCTGTCAGAATACAGTGATTGGATGACCTTTAGCTACTGGCCATCTATCCGGTATGCTCGCAAGCATGACCACACACTGTTGCGTGGGATTTGATCATAGACATTTTCTAGGTAAACAAAACACGTACATCGGATGGGCGTATTCGCACGATTTCTCAAAAATCTGACGCAGGGCAAATATATGGTCAGACGTGCTTCGACTGGGCGGAAGCGACATTGCTCTTTTCTTTTGGAGTCACTTATTCGGCGACACCTCCTTTTTAGCATCTTTGCGGTTTACCTGGGAGTCTCAGTAACGTAATATCCCGATAATTGCAATGCTCCCTTGGTCTCCCGTTTTGAATAGCGTTAAAATAACTCCCGTACTCCAGTCTGCTGATGTCTTTACCGTAGTCATCACAGTTTGACAGAGACGTGTAAGCCAGCACATACCTTGTACCCCTAATTCTGCGAGCGTTTCAGGGCGGATTTCATTAATTCCAGTAGCCTTTCCATTTTCATGCTTTTCAGAGCTTGTGTAATTTCATCTACAGAAATGGTGCTATCCGTTCCCTGATGTTCTACAGGCGAGTCTTCCTGCGGTTGCTCGGGGTTAAGGAGTTCCTCAGAGTACTCTCTCCATCGCCAAAGTATGTAATTATCCTCCATAAGAGGGTTCCAAGCCCGTCCTTCCAAACTCTCAGACTACTCTTCTTTTTTCCTCAGACAGCGAATGGTTTGCCAGAATACCTTTTTTGCCATTTGCAAATTCGAGTTCAGCGCCTCACAGAACTTCTCTCAGCAATCAGCTTTGGCTTTCGCTACTGCCTTCCCTGCCGCCTCGCATGCCTCGACATATCGCACGCGAGTAGAAGTCTCTTTGTTTCAAAGCCAGTTCGTGAGTGCAGCCTTCTTCTCTTTAGTTGTTCCTCTCGTGTTGACTAGGAAGTTCATTTCTGACCTTCGGGCGGCAGGCCAACTCGTTTGAATCCGCAGCATTCGGCGGCAGCCTCGAGTATGCAGCTCTTAAAGTGGTTTACACGTCATCGGTCATTATCGGGATATGTTCAAACCGTCGTCTGATGTTGTTTGCAAATTTCGCGCTCGTGTCCACCGAAGGTAATGTTTCCCATTTGATTGTCTGGTTGCTTCTGCCACCAGATCTTCGTATGGTACTCCATTTCTTACAGCGTAGCATGCCAACAACAAGATGATGATCGGTTGATAGCTCTGCGTCTCTCTTAACGCGAACATCCATTATTGAGGCTCTTAACTCAGACAGT